GCTGTGCTGCAGGTACCTCGAAGACGAAGCTGGAGCTATGGCGCTGCAGGTAAGTCTCCCTGGCCTCCGCCCAATCTCTCTCTCTCTCTCCAGTACTACTCTAGCTACTACTAGCGCCCAGCGCTGAAGACTACTGCTAACGCTACTAGCGCCCAGCGCTGAAGACTACTGCTAACGCTACTAGCGCCCAGCGCTGAAGACTACTGCTAGCGCTGCTACTACTGTGGCGCTCCTCCAGAGTGCTGCTGCCGAATCCTGAAGACTACCTCCTGCCTCCTGAACTGCATGTGAAGTGCCTGGGAAGTACCTAGGAACTACTTGCAGCCTGCAGGGCGGGCCAGTCCTATATAGTGCTGGCCCGTCCAGGAGGCTGCTCTTGCCAATGCCGAAACATGCCAGACCCTGGTGTTGAAGCTCAACCAGGGGTTGTCTTGAAAACAGGCACAAAATAGCCTGTGCTAAAACCCTGGTTCGGTGCCTGAGTTTCCGGGCAGGTCGATCTGACGAGGGCCTGAAAATGGCCCTCAGTTTCAGGCTGAAAAGACTCAGGGCCGGAAAGGCTCTGATTTAGCCTGAAACGACACACGGACCGTAGGCCGTTGTTTTCAGGCTTTCAGGCTGAAACGACACAGGGCCTGTAGGCCCTTGTTTTCAGGCTTTTGGCCTGAAAACGTCACGGGCCTGAAAGTGGTCCGTGCAGCCTGTTGCAGGCGCAGCATGTAACACTGAGTGAATCCATATTTATTGCAATCATTAAAGTGAATTCTACACTGGAGAATCACATCAAGCCAACCAATGAACTGCACTGGATCAATTTAGATTTGGGAAAAGGTCCAAACTCGCCCGGCCGTGCAGTACAGCCTGGGCAGGTCGCCCAGGGGTCACCTGCACGGGGCAACCCTTGCAGGCAAAAATCAGCCCTTCTCTTTTCTTTTTTCTTTTTCTCAGGGTGGGTTTTGTCCCCAGAGGGGTCCATATCCGGGCTCCTTTCTTTTTTCGAGTGTTGGCTGGCAAGGGGGTGAAGCGGAGTATAAATTGGTCTTTGGGGGGCTGAAGGGGCCGAAAGGAGGGTGCCTTAGTCTGATTGTGTTGTTTCCTCTTTTTTATCTTCAATCCTGTGAGGAATTGTGATGTGACCCTCACCCGAATGTCGTTTGAATTGCAATTCTACACAATCTTTTTCCGAGAATTTTTTATTTTTTGTTGGTTTTTGTTTCTCGTGCTGGGGCTGCCTGGAACCCCGCACGGAGTTCATGCCCAGCCGGGCGCCCAGCCAAGTTGGGTGCCCAGGGGCTCGGCCAAACAGCCTAGCCATAAAGTAAAAGTACATAACAGGTCCGGCTCAGGTTTGCAAATGCAAAATTTAGCCCAGTCAGAAATTCCTCAGAATGCATCCCGATGTGCAGATGGACAGGATGAGCAGAAGGCAGGGCACATTCTGGCCAGGCTAACTTTGTCCTTTCAATGGAAAGTGTTTTTTCAATGGTGTAAGATTTTGCTCAATCACACAACAAGCCATTGGAGTAGGTTTGCTGCTTCGGACAGGTTTTGTATCAGGGCCTACTCGCACTAGCGCTTCTATACTGGACTGCAATTGCAGCCAAACCTGGACGAATCTGGATGTAATCACATACAGAGCTTAGTAGAAAATGTCCCAGTGTGAGTATGCCCTCACAGAGGACGAGATTGCAGGATTGTGTCTCACTGATGATGACTCTATACAATATCCTTTTCAAGTGGAAAAAGAGGAATGACGCAAAAGAACACACCTCAAGATAAGAGCATTTGCAGTTGAACCTCAGTTGCTCATGCCGCCGGCTTTCCTCTTCCTGAAAGGGACAGTGAGATGGGGGGAAACAAAAAGATTTCAGCCAAGCCAGGAGCAGATATCTGACAAGAGGTGCTGTACAGTTTCCCCTACTCCGTTAAACCATCAATTCACCACAGCCCTACCTACGTTTTTGCCAGCATACACAGAAGCCAAGGAAAGGTTGGGCCTACTGAACCTGAAAGTTGTATCAAGGGGCATGCATAAAATTTTGGGCCGCAACTTTGGCAATTTATAATTCCCATTCCCGTTGGCAAAACTCTGGGTAAAGAAAATACAGGGATGTAGATGTGAGGAATGTGTCCTTAGGGGCCCCTAGACAACATTCATATGTTCTGACTGTGGCCCCCAGCAAGCCTCGTGCCTGTTCTAAGTGAAGGCGGGCCGGAATATTCACGAGAGACCCTTATCTCGGCATTTTCCAATGCGGGTCTCAGACAGTTGCTGCACGACAGTTGGTTGAAGTAGCACCTGAACCCTACCCTGGGCACTTCCAGAAGAAGTAAACGCGCCAGGGAGTTGAGCCCAGGGCCAGGGTGGTTGTGCCCTGGGCACATGCTTTTTGAGGCCGACACATCACAATGGGGCCACGGGCCAACCAGAAACCAGCATTGTCGTCGTATCTACCCCGCGGGCCAGTGCAAATGCAGCAAACATTCGGAGCCTGGGAAATTCTGTGTGTGCCCAACTGAAAAGGGCCCAGGCCCTCAACTGTCGAGATGGGCCTGGGCGCAGACACTGGGGCCCGACCAGAAGCTACTGGAAACTTCCTCAGCCAGGCCCAAGGAGTCCAGCAGCGGCTGCCACTTTCATATAGGCAGCAAGGAACCCAACAAGAGCATGCTGCCCTAGGCAGGCAATGCCGACACGCTGCTGCGCTCGCACGCAAGTGTCTCCATGCACATCTGCGGGCTGGGGCATGCACGGGCGCTGAGAGGTGAGGGGCGCTGCAGGGCAGTGGGGCGCATAGGCAGAGAATGGCGAAAGGGGGTCTTCCGAAGGAGCCCCAGAAGTGGGACGACAGGGTGTGATGAGGGAGACGAGAGTACGTACCTGGTGTATGTGGGAGGTCAGCATTTACGTTGACGACATGTACTTGGTCTTCAAAATGGAAGTGAGCCTGTTGCACGAAAGGTAGGTAGGTTAGGTAGGAAAGGTAGAGTAGGCTGGGCGCTGGTGCCAGACAGCGAGGAGCGACATTGAATACTGCGTAGGTGTGGCCTGAGGGCTAGAACATTGGCTCACGAGTTCATCGTATTGCTCTTATTTGGATGGAATCTTGGTGCATTTGAGCTCTCTGCTTGTTACATGACTATCTGGACTTCTGCGTGCTCTTTTAAAAGAACAGGGCCTTATGGTCCTGGCTCCTTTCCATTCTGGGGAGCAACAGTCCGGTTCCTATTCCACCGGCAAGTCAGAATAAAACATTACAATCATGAAAATCACCCGCTTCCTCCCGTCTGTCCGAAAGACCCCTGAACAGCATTGATTACTCCAGTCTTCTGGAGGATTGACTGTCAGTTTGCTCTGCTTTACTCTTTCCTCTCAGATCTGTTCACTAGATCTGCCAGGTGTACCCATAACAGCAAGAAAGAGCTTACCGCCTACTCAAGCTGTCCCTTGAGACTCATGCTTCTACCTTACCCATGTGTCTCGTCTCCCCCTATTCCTCCTTGTCTCTCGTTACGGAAGTATCGTCCAAACCCTAAACCCTAAACCCTCGTCTTGAAGTAAATTTTCTGAGACCTCTGGATCATCTTGGTTTGTCAACTCAAGTGGCCTGGTGTGGGTCTTGAACCATTTGTAGTCCAGAGTCCCTGCCTGCTGCATCCTATTTTCCTTTCCCTTATCGTGATCAAGCCGCCCACTCTTCCGATCCCATCTGCCTCCCAGTCTTGCCCTTCCTAGTGCGATTTTTCATCCGAGGGTCTGGCTTCCTGTTTGTAACACAGACTGTCTTCTCCGACCTGGTTCCGAGTTGTAACATTCTTTCCAGCGTATTCGGTCTTCCCGCAGGACCACCACCTTAACGTTTACCGGTCATAGCCTGATAAACTTGGATCTAAGTTTTTTCTGTTGGTCCCCGTCCTCCGGCCTAGCTCAACTTGCCTCCCGGATTTCGCTTGTAACATGAACTTCGTTTCCGCTCGGGCCTCCTCCCTGGATATGGAGAGTCCTTCGATGGTTCTGCAACCTCTTTCCTTCCAGCTGACCCTCGGCGCCACTATCCTTTTTTCCCCTTCCATTAACCACAATCTGATGGGGCTCCTTCTGACTTTGTCTTGCCGGTCCTCATCCTCTGCCGACCGAGTAATTCTGTCCCTGCCATCTGCAAAGAATTTCAGCTTGTCATGGAGTCTTCATCTGTGCCCACTTCTTCTCTCGGAGGTTAGTCTGACCTTCAATGATTCCACCGCTTCTTTCCTTGCAGACGACTCATAGTACCGCCATCCTTATCGATCCCTAGCAGTACTTTTCTACTTTATTGCGGTGGTCAGGGATGTTAGTCGACAGAGGGGATTGGATGGGGTGCTCGGGGCAGGGAGATTGGGAGAAGGAATCCTACAAAGCTTAGGCCCGTTCTCGGTGATCTGTCTTTTGCTACGACGGGTCTCACTGTGTATTATGTCTTCCGAACGCCCCTCTGTGCGGTCTGTGCATAGGTCTAAGGTGCCAGTAACACTTTCTTGGCTCCCTATGTGTGGCCATTGGTTTACCGATAAATGCCGCTGGTGACATTGTTACTTGGCGCGCTGAAGATGCTTCTGTACAGTGAGGATACATTGGCGCTGGTGAGATATTGCGACACCCAGGTAGAGGGGTGAGTCGCAGGAAGGCTGTGGTGACAGCAGATGTATGTATGATGAGAACATGCTGCTGTGGCATTTTGGCTGAGGTGGCACTGCATTGCGTTGTGGGTGGTACCGAAACTACGACCAGTCATCGAAATGCACGTTGGCTCAGTTGGTGAGAAATCTGCGGTTGGGGGCAGCTATCTCCAGGAACATTGTTCCCTTACCTTATCTACCCTCTCAATCTCTTTTTACGGTGAGGAAGTGAGTCCAACCTTGAGTGTCCTATCTTCGAGAGGAATCGTGAGCGCTCTACCTTGAGAAACGACATTCTTCCCGGTGGCGCATCTGGCAGGAGAGGGCGGTACCTCTGAAGGGCCCTGGTCGAAGCATGGGTCACGGTCACCATGCCAACCCATTGTAGTACACCCAGGCCATGCTGCTTTGTCCTTGAAGGCTAATTGCTGCACTGATAGAGGGAGTGCAGACTGACCAGTCCTATGCAGACGCTCACGACACCGTCTATAAACATTTCTGGCGGGGTTCTGAACTGTCCGCTGTCTGTGATCTCCATCCTGTCTGCGACATTAAATAATTCCTGAGGACCTTGGGGGCTGTCCTTAAACTGCCTCTTGATCAGCCAGATCAGTCAGACGTAAGGCGCGTTGCATGCGAGGATAAGTAAAGGGCAGTCCTGGTTATAAGCATATTCCTGGGCATAGGGGTGGGCCGTCATTAATGCACACCTTAGACACCGCTGCTTGATGATGCGGACAGGCACGTTGGATACAGGGGAGGGATATTCCAATTGATGCTCAATGTTACCCACAAACATTGACACATGCCCCGTTGGGCAATGTGTATGGAGCCAAGGATCTGCAATGTGATGAAAAGGACTCAATGGACAATGCAATGTCAGTGAAACATCAATAAGCAATGTACATCCCAATACATACAAAATGGCACAAAGTAGCGCAATTGAAGACTTAAAGATAAGACCCGACCTGACCAGGACTGACGTGACATCCCATTATACGCCACACATGTGAGACAGGAGGAGGGACCTGCATACATGGAAGAAAGGTCCCTCCTTGACCACACAGATGGGGGAGATACCACGGAGGAGAGACGGGGGGGGAGGCGAGACGAGAAAGCAGGCAAGGGAGAAGACCAAGATCGTGAAGTCCAAAAATAGTCCCTTGTCGAATGCCCAATCAATGTCTGCCTCAAAAAATGTCGGATCAGATCCCGGGCGATATTCCCGCTGTAACCTCTGCCTGTATCCTCGGCCTGTAATCTCTCTCTCTCTCTCTCTCTCTCTCCGAAGAAGAAGAAGAAGAAGAAGAAGAAGAAGAAGAAGAAGAAGAAGAAGAAGAAGAAGAAGAAGAAGAAGAAGAAGAAGAGGAAAGGAGGAAGGAGGGAGACGAGAGGGAGACTGAAGAAGAAGAAGAAGATGTTGTCTTCCTCCCTGTCTCACCTGCAGGTGGGCGCCGCCGCATTGACCGTCGATTGTCGTCGTGTGCAGATGGCGTGCACGGGGAGTCCCAGCTATGGCGCCAGGTAAGTCCCCCTACCGCAGGTATGGCCTCCGCCCCTCTGCCTTCCTATCCTCTACTCCCAACCTTCCATCGCAGCACTAAACAAGCAGGGTGTCGCTCAAGAAGTGAGCTACCGAACTGTGTGTCTGCCCAGGCCGTAGCCCAGCTATATGTTATGTACCCGATTGAACTTAAATCCACAACAAATTCACACGTTCTCATACACGCATGCAATTGCAGAGTAGACTCGAAGGAGGCAAATCCACACAAAACCGGAGAGAAGATATGCACAGCGGAAGCTCAAAACACACAGAGAATTGAAAAACGAATTTCAATTCTGCAGTCCCTCGTCCTCCTCCAATCAATCCAGAGTACTTGCCGTTGCAGCAGTAACCCCACAGCTGTCACAACGTGCCAATCTGAACCAGCAACCCTAATGATAACAGCGCCAGCTCGACACCCGCACGGACGTGCAGCGCTGGAAGTCCTGATGAAGAAGGAGACAACCGTTCCAACACTTCGAAGAAGACGAGTTCCTTGTGAGGAGGAAGAGCAGATATGGCTGCCAAGTGGAAATGGCAGCCCCCAAACCCAACAACACAGTCCTGTGGAAGCTCTCATGCAGAGCTGCGAAATAGCAGCAGTGCAGTCCTCAACGTCCTTTCCCAACC